AGCTCCATTCCCAGCAGGCCTTCAAACGGAGGGGTCACGCGTAACGCATTAGTTCTTCGGCAACAGCCAGAAAAAGAACACCCCGAGAGCTCCGAGGACCCTTGTCTAGATCTTAGTTTAAAAACAGGCCACCGAGAACGCATTATAGCACAAGAGAAAGCATGGCCGTGGAGTCCGACACTCCTGGGTTTTGACTCTGGCTCTGCCATGGACTCGCTACGCACATGGGTTTGGGGCTCTTTAACCTTCCTCATGATCGGCTTCTTATCTGTACAACAGGGGCAATAGCAGGACCTGCTCCAGAGCTGTGAGCTCGCCCTGAGAACCAAACCACATAAAACGTAAGGTCTCCCATAAATAATAAGAGATGTTACACCACAGCCTCTGGGCTCCAAAGTCACTGAAAACAGGAATTCTGAGATCAAGGGGCCACTCAACAGGGGCAGCCACAATCCCCAGCGGCTGCTGGCCCTGTATTCCTCCTTTCCGTGTCCGGGTCTCCTAAATTGGAAAACCCCGCATCGCGTACCGTTCCGCTTGGCATTTATTACCTGCCTGATCTCAGACAAACACTTCAAATCTGCGCTTCAGTTTATAAATCACCTGCGAGACAGAGGTAATAAAACTTTCTCCCCTCCCAGGGTTGTCGCGGGAAGTGACAGCAAGCCCCCACACACAACGCCCCACAGGGAAATCAGCCCCTTCTCGTCGTGGTCGCCCCCTCTGCAGGCAGCAGCCACACGTCTGGTGCGTAGTTCGCAGCACCAAGATGTCCCCAGTCCTCGCAGCCTGCTGGCCCGGGGACTCGGAGGCCAGGAACGAACAGGCCGTGGAAACGCGAGGAAGACCGAAGAGCAGGCCACAGGCCTCGGACACACGGGGCTGAGCCGTCACTGTCTGCAAACGCACACTAATTGGCCATTAGGGAGACGCGCGCACCGGTCGCCTCGGACTTCCCACGGCCTGCCTTTCATCGGGCGCCGATCCTTCGTAAATGCCCATTTCCCTGCCACCCCACCTCCTGCACTGCGGAGTCTATAAGGCGCCCACAGGAGGGTTTCTGCAAAATGCCACTCCAACAGCTGTCCGAGGTGACTTCCAGGAGCCGCACGGGGAGGGAGCCACGTGCGTCTGCTGCGGTCACCGACCCACACGCTCCCTGAACGCAGCGAGGATCCCAGCACGTCCATCCGTCCCGTTCCTCCGCCCCCGCCAGCCAACGGTTGGGGCTCACTGTGCTCCCTTCCTGCTGTACCTGTCACGGACACACACGCACCTGTCCCAGGGCCGCTCTGGGGACGTCACGTGGGGTGGTGCAGGTGCAGCTAGCTGCCTTATTTAGGCCACCGCAGGGTCCCTGCACAAGTAGCCTCAGGGAGGAGGGGAGCCTGACAGTGATGGAGAAACTCCTCCCTGGTGACTTTAATGCTCTCAGGGACCCAGCCCCGTGTTTCCTGTGCACCGTTCATTTAGCGAACATTTCCATAAGCCAGGCCCCAAGCCGGGCATGAGGATACGAGGGAGAAGAGAGGCAGACGCAATGCGGCCCTTCTGGGGCTTTCTGTCCAGCGGAGAGACAGACATTGACCAGCTCGCCCCACAGAGGCCTGAGCGGTTACACTGCACCCCGCGTTTACTGACGAAGTGTCTGTGATCCTGTGACGACCTATGACAAAGGAAGCCCTAGGCGATGATAAAGGCAGGGAAGGGTTCCCCGAGCGCAGGCAGGCCTCGGGGGAAACTGCGGGTTAGGTTCCAGACCCCACAATAAAGCGAGTGCTGAAGTCAGGCCAGCTGTGTCCTTTCTGCCGATGGAGGGTCTTGCCTTCGATCTGTAAAACACGGACCGTCTGTGAAGCGCAATAAAGCGAGGGGCGCCTGTGCGCGCCCCTGAAGGCCCCCGGTGGGAGCGAGGGAGCGGAGCTGGGCGGCGGAGCGAGGGCCACGAGATGAGCCTGGAAGGAGGCAGAGGCCAGGCCACGCAGTCACAGGCCACTGAAGGTTTTAGGAGAGGAAAGGGGCGTCGTCGCTGGGGCTTGCTTCTGGGACAGCTGACTCAGGCTGCTGACGGAGAACACATTTGGGGGGGCAGTGAGCAGAGCAGAAGGGAAGAGGCTCATCTGGGGGGGAAACTGCTGCTGTGTTGGGGGAAGACCACAAACGCTGAGACTCAGGTGCGGGCGGGGAGCCGGGGTGTGGAATGGTTGGCTGGACACGGGTTGAGGTAAAGGGTCCAACCAGAAACGAACTATTGGGTTCTGGACGAGTGACCATGTGGAGAGATGGTCGTGCTACGTGCCAGGAGAGGCTCAGGTTGGGGAGAGCGGGCAGAGCATGGTTTGGGGTAGGTTGAGCGGCACTGTGTATAAATCAGTACTACTGCAATCATTGTAAGTTATGGAAAAATTGTGGCTTACAAAATGCTTTCACATTCCTTGTCCTTACCGGTTTCTTAGCTGATCTTGTGGGAGACAGGTAGGTAATTGGTAGGGAAAGAAAATGCAGGTGTTGGGGACCTTGCACAGTATGGTCAATAGCGGAATCGGGCTAGAGGACAGGACAGTGGAGATGACATTGTTTAGAATTCATCCAGATTGCGTGTTTTTAAATTTTTTTTTTTATGGCATGGAGCCCTCAATTCAAATGGATGAAAGTCCAGCATGTGAAATAACAAACAGTAGGTCTCTCTGCATTCAAGGGCGCAGGGGAGAGTCAGAAAACCAATACCTTCCCCACCCACCCCCTTTCCTCCAACATCTCCTGGCAGTTCAGGTTCCAACACTGGGTACCTTTCTCCCTGAGCCTGCCAACCATCCACGGGTTTCCTGACGGGCTGCACAATCAGGAGCATTTTAATCCTATGTTCCCTGGCTGCCAAGGAGAGCAGGGCAGTTCTAAGGACCTGCTGTACTTCTGGCACTGCTGGGCCTTCGCAGGAGTCATCTTATTTGATCCCATCCAGCAGCTGATGGAGCCAGGCTCAGAACCCAAATCGGATGGTCCTTCAGTGGTGAGCCAGGGGATGAACTTGGGCTTTTTTCCCTGCCACATTGTATTTGGTTGTTTTTTAAATGTGTTTTTATTGATTTTAGAGAGAGAGGAAGAGAGAGAAACATTGATGAGAGAGAAACACCCATCAGCTGCCTCCTGTGCGCCCCCTCCTGGGGGTCGAGCTTGCATCTCTGCATGTGCCCTGACCAGGAATTGAACTGGTGACCTCTTGGTTCCTGGGTCAGTGCTCAACCACTGAACCACACCAGCGGGGCACACGTGTGGTTTTTAAAAAGTAGAGGGTAAAGGCTTGCAAAGGACATGGCCCAGGATTGCCAAAAAAGAAAAAAAGAAGGCAGGAGGAGGCGGCGGCAAGAACATCCTTCTGTGCCAGATGTCGCTCCTCCCCTCCCGTTGCTTTTCCCCACGGTGTTGGCGCGCAGACCCGGAGAGACAGAGTGGCTTGCTTTTACCTTAATTAGCGCAGCAATTTGCTAAATTTTGTTTTTCCCTTTTTAAGAGTGTTAATCAATTTTAGCTCAGAATAGACTGGAATGGCACACGAATTACCACGACAATCCCCAAATGCTAAATTCTGAAAGTCTCCATCAACTTCAGAGCCTGAAATATGGGAAAATCAGAAACTCTGGCTAGCATCTCTGTGATCTATTTAAAATGTTATGGCTCAGAGATGAAAAGATAATGGCTTTATGAGGTTTGGAACAAGCAATTTGCTAGAATCAGCCTCATGCCTGGGTGCTGAGCCCTTCCCAAGGTGACTGGGGACAGAGCATCACATATTTCTGCAAAGTTACATGTTCCTCTAATAACAGCAATTGGTTAAATCCACAAGCACTACAGGGTACGAACTATGCACCAGAACATCAGCAAAGGATAGATGTGCCCCTGTCCCCTCCCCCATGTAGAAGTTTCGACACTAAGGCAGGAGACAAGTGAATAGAAAATGAGCCCCTCTCTTCTGGACAAATCAGGGAAGGTTCTCAGAAGGTGGCCATGCATCTGGGTTCTGAAGGGTGAATAGGAGTTATGAGAAGGCAAGTGGAAGGGCATGTCAGACAGAAAGAACAGCGCAAGCAAAGCCTCAAACACAGAAGAGAAGGCAGTGGGAACCAGAAGTGGTTCCTCAGACCTAAGGAGCAGAGTGAATCTGCAGAATGACCAGAGAGTCTAGGGCCAGAAGATGCGGTACTTCTTAACAGCCGTGACTCGATCGTGACACCAGCACAGGGGCATGACAAAGGGATTTCAAGCGAGGGAGTGATGTGACCAAATGGGTCTCATCTGGTTGAAACCCTCTGGCCCCACATAACCCTTAAAATGTATTCAGCAGTCCTTCAAAACACATTCACAGCCCTGACCGAGTAGCTCAGTTGGTTGGAGCACCATCCTGATATGCCAAGGTTGTGAGTTTGATCCCTGGTCAGGGCATATACAAGAATCAGCCAGTGGATGCCTAAATAAGTGAGACAACCAACTGATGTCTCTCTCTCAAAAAAAAAAAAAATTAAAAAAAAAATCAATTAAAAAAATATAATAAAACACATTCATATACATTCTCTCACTTGAGCCTCTTGTTACCCCACGAGGTAGGTATTGTATCACCTTTCTACTGGTTGGAGAAAACACACCCAGAAAAGGTATAGGTTATTTACTTGGTGTCTTCTGACCAGTAAACGACAATCCATGAATTCAAGCCCAGGTCCACTGGACTCTGAGTTCATTATTGCCTGAATTCTCTAGACAATAATATCACAGACCCCCTTCAGATACGCACCAGGCCAATGCCTGCAGACTCTACAGAAAGCCTTGGTGGCCAGAACTGCACAGGCCCATGGACATTCTGAGCTAAAGAGGTGGCCACTTGAAGGCTTTTGAGAATAAAAGCAGATCCGGTGGCAGACGATCTCAGTCATGCCCCAGGCATTTCCAGCTGGGGGCTGAGATTTCTGCTCGAGGAGCCCAGGGGGGCGCCCCTCCCGCCGCTGTACCTTGAGCTCATCGGCGTTGTAGAAGTCCACGCGCACTGCGGGCACCATCCAGGTCTGGAAGAGGGTTGCCAGGATCTGCTCGGCGATGGAGTCGGCGACGAGGTGGAAGTGCAGGGGGTTCCGCCTGTGGGGAGCGACAGCAGGCAGGGTCAGGAGGGAGCGCTGAGGCCTCGGCATTCCCGCCACAAACACACAGCCTCACCCATTCGTTACACGTGGCCGGTTTCTAACAGTAACTGGGAAAGTAAACCGGGCTTGTGACCAAATCAGCGCCGACTGGGGAGGGTGGCGGGGCCGGAAAGGAGAGGACATGTCACCCAACCTCAGCCTTTCACAGAGGCGATGATGAAGGACCAGGAGGGTAACATGGCTGGAGACACTCAATTCAAGCCAATCACCGTACCTGTTATTAAAACATCTGTGTTTCTAGGTATCTTAAGCAGAGCACATGGTATTGACGAGCCCTTTATTTCTGTCACCTAGAAACACTGGCGTTGGTGCAGAAGCCCAGGGAGACGACCGCGTCTTTAGACCAGCTGCATGGAGCCAGCACAGTCCTGAGGTTTGTTTCCTCCTTGTTTCTCTCCCAAAAATTCCAGGCATCCCAGGAGGAGTCACCTGGGCTCCATCAGTGAATATCAGTGAAGCCTCACTTTTCATGTTCCTACAGTTTTTCTTCATTCCCCCTCAGTCAACCAGCCCAAACAGAGGCAACACTCAAACTATAACCCAGCATTACCCAGGGCAGAGCTCAGGTTCATGCCCAGGGCTGGCGATTATTAGTGGGGTCACATACACCTCTGCACACCCGCTGCTTCCTCTGTGAAATGTTGGAAGAACCTCTTCATGAGGCCACTGTGCCGATTAAATGAAATAACAAGTGCCATATATAATGCATATCAACAGTAAACACAGGCAGAATATTAATACATTACAGATATGCCTTCTTGAGAAACTGCCAGGCACAAAGCGATAGTTCAGTACAGAAGAACTACTGTCATAAATACTACTGTGCGAGTAAAAATAACAATGTAAGTATTTTTTGTTTTTTTTTTGTAAAATATATCTTTATTGATTTCAGAGAGAGGAAAGGAGAGGGAGAGACAGAAACATCAATGATGAGAGAGTCATTGATCAAGCCCACAACCGGGCATGTGCCCTGACTGGGAATCAAACCCCGATCGCCTGGATCCTAGGTCAACGCTCAACCGCTGAGCCATGCCCGGCCGGGCTAACAATGTAAGCTTTAATACCGCGAACGAGCACCTAAAGATGAGAATGAACCGGTCCCCTAGACCTCAAGGAGCTCATCCTATTTGCAGAGACAGGAGACCCACAATTAAATACTATAAACATGAAACGGAACAATTAAATACTAGGAACATGATGTGACAATGACTACCCAGCACACCAGGTGCTACGGGAGGAGTTCTGACTGCGACAGAGGGTGTGTAAGAGTGGGGGATGCAGCACCCTAAAAGGATAAATGACTTTGACAGGTGGAGGGAGAGGAGAGTAACAGGGCCTGTGGCCGGAGCACAGGCGTGTTGGGGAAGGAAGCGGTTGGCAGGGCTCTGCTTGGAGCGAGGGAGAGAGATGCGCACCCACGGGGGCGAAGCAATGAAGCAGCCCGGAGTCCATCAGCTGGGTGTGGGGGAGGGGCGCGACCTGCCCCTCAGCTCCCAGCCTCCTGGGCAGCCCCGTTCCCCGTTCCAGACATACGGCCGGTCTCTCAGTTCCCACGCCCGGGCTGTCTTCTACCTGGGCCTGGACAGATTCGGTTTGCTCTGCAGGAAACCCTCTTGCACGGGCCCGCTCAATAAATGCTGACAGTCATCTCAGCACCACATACCCATCCTCAGGTAGAGACCACCTGTTTGCCTAAGTCCCCACTTGACTGTGAGCTCGGGGAGGTCAAGGGCCGTGCCAGGTATGTTTAAGTGGATACCCCAATCTAGTCCAGTGTCTGGGATGCAGTAGGAGTTCAAAAATGATCTGAATGGACGGATGGGAGCTGGACGGTAGTCAGATAAGGGGAATAGAGGTGGACACATCATTTGAGAGATTAGACCAGGCGACTGTGAACCAGGATCTGGTCAAGGCAGTCCAGAGAACAGCAAGAAGGAAGCTGAATCCGGAGGGATTTCAGGAGAGATCTTATATGTGGGGTACGGGGATGGGGGGGTGGAGAGGCAGATGCAGAAGGTGACACTGAGATCCCTAGGTTGGTGGTGATGTCTCCAGGACAGGGGAGACAAGAAGAAAGACGCGCTGGAGGAAAATGACTTTGGGGATTGGGAGGGTGTACCAAGTTTGAGGGGAGGGTGGCAAAGCCAGGCAGAGCTGGATGAGTGAGCCTAGACCTGAAGAAAGCTCTTACCCATGGCCAAGGTGCCATACACATAACAGGTGCACAGGGTGAGTAAAGTGAAAAAAGAAAGAATTAAAGAAACAATTAGCACAGCAGAATCTCTCCATGGGACCACTGCTTGGCAATGGCAAATTCCTCATGGAACCATCTATACGGGGGGGGGGGCATGCCTGCCCTGCAGGCCCCGTGAGACCTGCCAGGAGGCCTGCGTGATGACTGGGGGCCTGAGGGGTCATGGTTTGTTAACTGGCCAGTGGCCTACCTGAGGCTACGTCAGAGGTGGCCAATCAAAGTCACTGGGAAGACAGACGATCCATTCAGCCCTCGAGTGTTGGCACAGACACTCCTCTCTCCCACATGTGCCCCAACAGAGTCTTACGTATGGAGACTGGGTCAAAGCAGCCTGCATACTTGTGACCTTGCATTGTTAGCCACAATGAAGGGATGGCACAATTTTAGACACAGGGTGACGACACCAAACAGATCGAGCTGCTTCTCTCTGCTCTGACACATCCCCACACCCATGCATCTGTGTCCTTGCCTGGGCTCCCTCCCCCTACTTTGAGGTCCCATGAGTTCTGTGCATCCTTCAAGATTCCCTTCGTGAGTCGTCTCCTCCTAGACACCGTCTCAGAGCACATCCTTGCCCCTTTCCTGTGAACTTGGCAATGCAGACGAAATCAAGTCTACCCAATACATGGTAGTGCTGTGACCACATTCAACCCCTGGCTCCTGTCTGTGCGGTGAGACCCCTGAGGACAGGAACTATCTTGTTCATGTCCATCCCCAGTGCCCCGCAGAGGCGCTGGCACCTGGGGGTGCTCAACAAACACTCGTGCACCGGAAAAGAAAGCCAGTGCCCCCTTCTGTGAGGGTAAGAACAGCCGATGGCACACTCCTCGTGGTGGTGCGGCGCTGGGCTCCATCCAGAAGGTCTGGGCTGGAACCCTGGCTGCCCTAATGACTGAGCAGCTGTAAGCAAGTTACGTCATGGCTCCAGGCCTCAATTTCTTCATCTTCAAGACAGCAACAGTGACGGTAAGCAATGTTATTTTGGGCAATTGTAGGGGTTAGGAGACATGACATATATAAAGCACTTAGTGAAGTGCCTGGTGTGTGGGAAGATTCCAGTGTGTTGACTATTGGTGTGGTCTGAATATCTGTGTCCCTCCCCGCTAAATTCGTAAGTTGGATGCTAACCCCTAAGGTGATGGTATCAGGGGTGGGGCCTTTAGGAGGGGATCAGGTCAGAGGGGCAGAGTCCTCCTGAAGGGGATTAGTGCCCTGATCAAAGAGGCTCCAGGGACACCCCTCACTCCTCCCACCGAGGGAAGGCACAGAGAAGTCCGCGCTGGGTACCCAGGAAGCAGTGCCCCCCACCCAGACCCAGACCACGCTGGCGCCAGGACCTTGGGCTTCCCAGCCTCCAGACCTGCGAGAAATAAGGTTCTGTTGTTGATGGTCTGTGGTATTTTGTGACAAGGGCCCCCATGAACTAAGGCACCCATGATAAGCATTAACTTATGAAACTGTTATTTTCTCTATGCTTATATATCATTTTCAATATAAAGCATTTCAACTTGTTCCTCCACCCATAGACCAAAAATAATGAGCTGAGTGATTAAACGTCCAACAAAGAGCTATCAGGCAGCAAATGCAGGAAAAGCGTAACAGACGAACCACCAGAGTCCTCTCCTCGGGCACCTATCAATCTGGCAGAGATACAGGGAAAATGCAAGTAACTACCTAACCGTGAGAACACGTGTGTGACATGACGCTGGGTCACTACACGCGACTGTGAAGTTCGGGAATGGCCCACGTCCCAGGGGCCATGTGAAGAGGCTGACACAGACAGCAAGTGACGGGCACCCCTAGAGTCGGATGGGGAACAACCTGTGCAGCCGTCCAGGGTGGCTCTGCAAGGAGGAGCACAGAAGGGACAGGGGCCTAAGGGTGGAGGAGACCCCTCCTCATCAGCACAGAAGATACGGAGTTTCCACAGACTGTGGCCCTGCACCTGGCCCTGGACCTTTGGGTGGGGAGAAATGGAGGCCCGAGGAAGGCATTCTGCAGGCTGTGATGGAATAAGGGGAGGACCAGAGGTGGGGGAGTACAAGGCATGTCTGCCAAAGAACCAGTCCTGGTTGGGTTGCTCATAAAGTGACATTAATGGATGCCTACTGGATGCCTGGAATAGGCAGGGATAAACAGAAAGGGACAGACTTGCTGCAGGCTGGGACAGAATAAGGGGCCTCCTAAGAACTGTGACTGGCAGTCTCAATCAGGGGACACCCGGGGGCTCCCAGCCCAGGTGACATGTGTGACACTGACTCAGCGGTCGATGCAGGCTGCCCAGCCGAGGCTCAGGTCTCCTGCTCCGTAGGTGGAAAGCCGGGAGGGGCTCTGCTAATGCTGCACCTGCGGTACCATCACAAAAATGTGGGTTCCGTCTGCCGCACCTCAGTGGCCTCGTCGGAGAAAGCACCCGAAAACACTGTCCAGACCACTTTTCTTGGAGTCTCCATGGAAACCAGAACATTTCCCTTGAGCTTTAACTTGTTAATCCACTGCCAACCAGATGGTCCCGCCTTCCTGTCCCACAGACCCCTTGGAATCAAGAAAGCCCCAATTACGACCCTCCTAACATGCCAGGTTACTACTTGTGGAGTGCTTGTTCGGTACCGGTCTCTCAGAGCCTGGGTCTGTCATGGGTGTATCCTAGGCCCCAGAAAAATGCCCAGGATATTAAGTGG